GAAGAGAGAAGATCAGAAGAGAAAGAGTCAGAAGAAAGAAGATGCAGATGCGCGAAAAGGTAGGAAAGTCGCGAAACACTGTGTGTTTCCAATGATTTGAGGCTCCGGAGGGTCGAAAAGTAGGCTCGCTAAAGCGGCGGGTGCGGAGCCAGCTGGCCAGATGAGAGATGAAAAATTGCACGCCGTTGTGGCGCGAAGCAAATTTCCAAGTCAAAATGTACAAAGCACACCATTCTCGGACCACTTTTGGAAGTTGCGATGTCGAAAAAGTGCACGCCGTTGTGGCGCGAAGCACATTTCCAAGTCAAAATGTACAAAACACACCATTCTCGGACCACTTTTGGAAGTTCAGATGTCGAAAAAGTGCACGCCGTTGTGGCGCGAAGCACATTTCCAAGTCAAAATGTACAAAGCACCAAATGTTCGCGCCACTTTTGGAGGTTCGGATGTCGAAAAAGTGCACGCCGTTGTGGCGCGAAGCACATTGCGAAGTCAAAATGTACAAAGCACACCATTCTCGGACCACTTTTGGAGGTTCGGATGTCAAAAAAGTGCACGCCGTTGTGGCGCGAAGCACATTTCCAAGTCAAAATGGACAAAGCACCATTGTCGGACCACTTTTGGAAGTTGCGATGTCGAAAAAGTGCACGCCGTTGTGGCGCGAAGCACTTTTCGAAGTCAAAATGTTAAAAACACCATTCTCGGACCACTTTTGGAGGCTCAGATGTCGCTTCTCTTCGCTTCACTACGCTACACTACATTACACTACACTACACTCCACTACACTACATTACACTACACTACACACCACAACACTACAATTACAACTACACAACTACACACCACTACCTCCACTACATTAAATTACACTACACTACACAACATTACATTACACTACACTCCACTACACTACATTACACTACACTACACTCCACTACACTACATTACACTACGCTACACTCCACAACACTACAACTACAACTACACAACTACACTCAACTACTCCCCACTACACTCCACTACACTCCACTACACTCCACTACACTCCACTACACCAAATTACATTACACTACACTACACTCCACAAAACTACACTACACTACATTACACTACACTACACTACCTTCCACTACACTTCACTGCATTAGACTACACAAAACTCCACCACACTACAACTACAACTACAACTACAACTGCACAACTACACAACTACACTCCACTACACTCCACTACACTCCACTACACCAAATTACATTACACTACACTACACTCCACAAAACTACACTACACCACAAGACTACACTACACTACATTACACTACACTACACTACCTTCCACTACACTTCACTACATTACACTACACTACACTCCACCACATTACAACTACAACTACAACTACACAACTACACTCCACGACACTCCACTACACTACATTACACTACACTACATTACACTACACTACATTGAATGACACTGCACCACAGATAGACAGGTAGACCGATAGACAGATAGATAGATAGATAGATAGATACATAGATAGATAGATAGATAGACAGGTAGACAGATAGACAGATAGACAGATAGACAGATGAGAGAGAGAGAGATAGAGAGATAGAGAGATAGATAGATAGATAGATAGATAGTTAGATAGTTAGATAGTTAGATAGTTAGATAGAAAGATAGGTAGGTAGATAGATAGATCGATAGATACATAGGTAGATAGATAGGTAGGTAGGTGGGTAGGTAGGTAGATAGTCAGAGAAAGGGAGAGAAATAGTGAGAGAGATCAATCACCTTTCGCTCCAGCAGTGGCTTCGCTCTGCCATCCCTGATTCACAACAACCAACCTCTCCTATAGGTTTCCTATTTTTGAAACTTCCGCCACCGCCTTGTGCGGTACTACTGGTATATATTATAAAAGTATAAAGTTGCCACACATGGTATTTTTCCATATTTTTCCTTATTTTTCCACCATCTTTGCAAACACATGAAAACATCACCGAAACCACTGGATGCAAAGAGGCCACCTCAAATTTCTTGTTCAGGACAAAGGACCCGCAGCGAGTTGCCCCAGCGGACGCACCTTGACGGGATGTTGGTGCAAGAGTACCACTGGGCGAGGAGACAACTGCGTGAAGGTTTGGGGTGACTTGGATGGGTGTCGATGATTTTTTCGAGTTTTCCACGAGTTCATCCAAGAAACCAGGGAATCTACTAGGAATATGTTGTAACTTGGGTTGGTTGGATGTTTTTTGTTGATGTTTCCACTGTTCATTTACCCAAGGGAATCGATTTGCTGTTGATTTGTCCTCCATTTTTCATGAGTTCATCCACCATGACTAGCAAGGTGATGGAAACACCTGCTATGCAAGGACCAGCGGAGGCGCGGGAGATTGTTGGAGAGTTTGTTGAAAAACCCTCCGTTCATGGTATCTGGGGTATCTGGTTCACTGGTTCACTTTCCCGAGGTTGGGAGATCTGAGGGCAAAGCATTTTTGATTGCCAGATATTGCCAGGTACGGGTAAACAATGGTTTACTGCTGCAAATCTGGGGTGGCAGCATGACAGTGCCATTCTTCAGTCCTTTTATCAGAAATTCGTGTGTGTGACATGTTGGGGAGAAGTCTGTCACTGTTGCTACTCCATGTCGTCATTATCTGAATCTAACTTCTGCTTTTCAAGTGGCAACCGTTGAAACCTGATCCTGCGACAGGCCGAGCAAGCACCGTTCAAAATACCATTGAAGTCATGGGCCGCTGTGCGATTTTGACGACAGCCGCTACGGTGCTCAGTGAGTTGAAAATCCAATTGCAGCCGGACACAAACTTGTTGGAGACACCGGTGACTGAGAACCGAGCGATCGGTCACCTTGCTCCATTGTCCTTCTACTACATGCATTTGCATCAGCAATGTGATTCACTTCTGTTGATGGGTGGGGTTGGCGTGGAACATTGTTCCCGACCCTCCTACCGCAATCCCAACTACCACCCCTGGGACAAGAGGAAGGTTCTTCCAAAAAGCTTCGTTCATGGCAGCGAATTGACAGTGAGTTGCTGGAAGGAGCGCTTTGAGTCTTTCCGAGCCCAAGTGAAAATACCTAGTGAGACTTTGCACTGTGTGAACGGCGACTGGTTCAACTCGGCGCAGACTCCTGAACTTGGCAAATTCACTTGCGAGCCATGCGTAGCTGTAGCAGGAAGTGGATATTCCAAGCACATCAAGCGCAACGAGCAGGAGCTTTACTTCTACAGCAAGATGGCCATGCGGGTCTATACCGAGCTGGGGTCAGTAGTGGAGACGTCTGCTGCGGCGCACAAGTTCTGCTTGAAGAAGGATAAGACCTCTTCCAGCGGCATGATGCTGCAAAACGAACAGGCGGAGGGGAAGTGGCTGTAGTGAATAGATGGCCTGTTAGGGCTTGATCCGCTTGATGTGTTTTGAAAACTCGCATCCCTCGTTGATCTTAAAACAGTCCAAAAAACGATTCGCCGTGGTTTAGCAGGGGATTTACAGATGTTTGGGAGCATTTATATATATTTAGATTGTGTTGATTTGTGTTTAATATGGGGGGGGATGGGATTACAATGGATTACAGCTTTCTAATTTTTCCTACACAATATACCTCAAGTGTCAGCGGTTTTTTTGTGTGAGGAGTGTCCAGAGATTCTGGCGATTCAGCTGGCTGGCTCATCGGAGATCCAAGAGCGCATGATGCTTCTCTTGAAAGAAGGCGGGGCCCACCTTGGATGGTTAAGAAATGTTAAGAACTCCTGCACCTTGGATTCCTTGGATCGTTGAAACATGTTGAAACATGTTGAAACATCATCAAGAATGGGATATCCATGGATATCCATTACCACCTACAGTGTCAACTGGTGCAGGATTTCGCAACCATCCACAAGTTGTAGTTGGGATGGTGATTTTCAAGGAGTTACTCTTTCCTGGGTTAACACTGTACGTTTCCAAACACGAAACAGTTGGATTTTACCCCTTTACCACCCAACATCAGGGCTGCCAACAGGGATGGGTCGTGCGAAACTGTCAGGCAAGCCTGACAACAACCAATGCCTGGAAGCACGACAAGCCAGTGACAATGTATCTCCTGCTGTGATCCACAAGACGTGCAATGTGGATGAGGCACAGCAAGTGATCTCGCCAATGGCTTTGCCAGGCATTCTGTGGAGCATGCATCAGACTGCTGACCGTCAGTCTGGGGAGGATCTGCACAACGCTTACTCCTCGTACTGCGGTGCACATGGAGCGCTTTCCAGACTTTCATATGGACAGATCTTTGGTGGTGAATTGGGTGGCACGAAGTCCTTGTGTCAGTTTGCTCCTGTGATCAAGTTCGGAGTGTTTGTTGACAGCGCCATCACCTACGACAAGACCAGTTCCAATTGGCCGGATTGGTATACACTTCTTGCCGACTCTCCAATTCTATGCGCTGATGGTGAGGCCCTGACGGGCTTCAAGCACCAGCCTGCCAGCAACAAGTTCCGCTACGAGTGCAGTCGCATAGGCAGGGCTGGGAGAGGTAGTGCAATAACCGGTACGCGGCAGCTATAGTAGTTGTAAACTCCATTAAAGCAGGTACAAACCCCATCTATACTCACTAAAATGACACAGTTAGTAGCTACACTCCAGATTTTTCCCATTTGACAATATTTCACATTATGGCGCTAAGTCTTGGTTTTTGGGCCCCCTGATTTTTGTGTGTGTTTTGAACGCTCAGGTGGTTTGGGTGCGCAGTACGAATACTTCAGTGCCCAGGTGGAAGTGAAAAGGTTCGATCAGACGAGGTCCAACTGGATCGAGTCTTTGACGCTCGGAACGGGGCATAGAACGGGCAAGTGGCGATATAAGTTGATGTAATTGATATATATATATGTATATATATATATACACATACATACATATACTCATATAGATATAGAATGATATCTATATATATATAATTATATAGTTGTGCTAGGCCATGTGAAATAGCCGTAGGGCATCCCTCTTATCATCCCTTGTATCTAGCTAGTCTTTCCAAGTGTGAAGAACTCATTTTGGCATCGTCACCTTTACGTTTGGCTCCAGCACTGCGGTAAAAGTTACAGTATTTGCCGTTGCTGCTTGCGCTTGGTGTTGTAAACCCCCTACATGGCTGCGATAGGGCGGTTTAATTGGTGGACAGCCTCAGCATCGGCCACCAATTGGCCATCCATATTTGCCAGCTCAAGGACTTGAGCCCCTCTATTGCTTGCACCACCGCCACTGTTCTGTTAAACTTACCCGGCACCAAAAACGAGTTGAAGGTTCGTGGTATTTGAACTTGACATTCCAGTGTGATCCCGTTGCACGCCCAGGCCATCTCTGCTTGCAGCTTGCAATCACTGCCGTCCAGACCCTCAAAGGACAGACGGTAAGTAAACTTGTCCGGGGCGTTTGCTGTCCAGAACAGCACGGCACAAATAAAGGAAAGAATCCGCCTTCCATATTAATAATCCTGTGTGTTGCATAGGCCTCAACAACAATTGTCCCTGAAGCATACTTGCAATTTGCTTGTCCATTTGTCATTGACCACAAGTAATTCAGTATTGCGTCAGGGGTTTGCCAAACCGTGCAACACTGAAACAACACTGACTCATATCCTCTGCATAAAGACTAAAACGAATAGGGCATGGTACAGCATTCTGCTGACCGTTCTCCTTGCGTTTGTCAAACAGTCGCAGGTAAGACAGCCTAAGCCAAGAACATTTCTAAGAAACAACCAAGAGCACCGATCACCGTTGCAGCAACTTTTGGAATTCAAGATCAGCTGCAACACTAGGCACTCGGCGTCGGGTCGTGCATGCCACCGAGATTGAGGTCAAGGTCGCGATCAGATCCGAGATACTCTGGATTGTTTCCGAGGGGTCGAAACTTGGTGGCCCGTTTTGGAAAGGTGAGAAGGGAGAGACGTGCAGGTAAATCCTATTGGAGAAGGTACAAATCAGCGTGCCTGAACATTTTGGAATACTTGTTGTGGTTTGTCATTGAACTTGTCACCAGATCGTCTCATCCGGTTCCTCGTTCCATTCAAAGGCGACGTCACCAGATGGTAGTGCAGGCGAAATCGTCTCCCGAGACGTCAAGCCCCTTTGCTGGAGCTTGATGCCAGGCGTTTCAAAAGCGTGGCCACGCGCAAATTTTCCTCGAGGCAGCAGCTGCATCGTCATTGTCGTATATTGGCGACTTCCATGCAACTGGCGTATGGATTCACGAAGGTCATCTCGAACGGAACCGAATGGCAAACTACTCTGCAGCAACCATGCGTTCATCCAGCTTCATAGACTTCCATCCCTGGAATAGCTAGCCGGGATGAGGGGGGAGTTGTGATATGCCATGCGAAATAGCCGTAGGGCATCCTTCTTATCACCCCTTGTATCTAGCTAGTCTTTCCTTGGCTCAAGCACTCCGGGAAAAGTTATTTGCCGTTGCTGCTTGCGCTTGGTCGTAAGCCCCCTACTTGGCTGTGGTAGGGCGGTTTAACTTATACCTGGAACCTCCAACGGGAAGAATTTTCTTGTAGTTCTTTCGTTTGCCTAAATCGCTAGTCTTGCGCAAACGACTCTCTTGACAAGAATTACCTATTCCCATGGTTTGAACCGGTTTGCAGCCATTCTACAACTTTTTGGCCTGCCACTCTGGTACAGCAGTTTATTTGCTATCAGTTCGAACCATTGGTGCTTGGAAAATACAGATGCATTAGGCAAATCAAGATCTGCTCCGCAGAGCACCGAGGAGCTTTGTGGCATCCTATGGATTCTGAAAGCGTAATGATTCGCAAAAATCACAAAAACCACTGAAAGACATATTTTGCGACAAGAACACCCCGCAAAACGCCCGCAAATACCCCGCAAATGCCCGCAAATACACACAAACGCCCGCAAAACCAGAAAAGTGATAATTCTTGTTGTTTTCCAATCAGGAAAAGTGTTTTTCAGTTTTTTGCTAGATGGGCTTACTAGAAACCTGAAAATTCATACAAAAGCAATGTGGTTCTGCCATCAGTATGCGTGGGTGAAAGGGAAAATATTGGCTTGGAGATGCCATGGGGGCACACAAGAAATTTGAAGATATATGCGCCCCCAAAACTCGACGTGATTTTCTTTAATTCGCCACGATTTCCAGAAACACGCCGTGAAGGACATGTTTTTTTGAAACGATGTGGAAACGCCTAGGAAAAATCTTGTCAAGGGAGGATCAAAGTATATATATATACACATAATATCTATATGTTTATATGTGGAACTGTATAACCAACAACATGACATATTTTCATTGGTTGATGATGTTTGTCATGGGTGATACTATCCAAAATAGGGAATAGCATGGATTATCATTATGCATGAACTGAGAATCCCGTTCTTCCAAGTAACCAGTGAGTATAGAATGACAGAGGGGTTTGAAGACTGCTTCTTTGGCTGTGGTGACCCAAAATGGGGTACCCAGTGACAGTCACATTTTGACCAGTCGCAACAACTCCATCTTTGGCTATGTGGGAGGTTTCCTCACTATTCATGCCACGGTCCCAGGTCCACCTTGCGCGCTAATTAAAAGCAGACAAGCGAACAGTTTTGTTATGTTAGTTTTTCTTATAAGTTTTTCCATTTTTCCCACCACGAGTCACTACATCTTGATGCTTAGTTGCCCCGATGTTTGATGCTTCCGATCTTTGCATTCAGGAAGATGATCAACGTGGACTGCGGCAAGAATGGTTTGCTGAGCGGTTTCCACTTCGAATTCTCCGAAGGGGGCCGATGGGCACGGTCCAAGTACACCTGTTCCAAAGCAGGAGGTGCTCCCGTGGTCATGGAGCCCTCCACGCTGATTGAGCCGCTGATTCAAACCACAGAGGGCCTGTGTCTCGATAGAAGAACACTTGTTTGTTGGGACAAATTGTCATTTAAATTTGGAGATCATTTTTTTGGATTTTGTATATATACAGCTACAGATACATGCAAATACATTTGCTGATACATATACATATACATATACATATACATTATACATTATACATTATCAAAGGAAGTTTAGGGGGAGGAACTTCCGTGTTACGGACTTTTAGAATGTCAGGGAAAGAGTTAGTCAAAGAAAGAGTTAGCAAAGAAAGAGTTCGTCAGGGAAAGAGTTAGTCAAAGAAAGAGTTAGTGAGGGAAAGAGTTAGTCAAAGAAAGAGTTAGTGAGGGAAAGAGTTAGTCAAAGAAAGAGTTAGCAAAGATATATCAGGGAAAGAGTTAGTCAAAGAAAGAGTTAGCAAAGAAACAAGTTAGTCAAAGAAAGAGTTAGTGAGGGAAAGAGTTAGTCAAAGAAAGAGTTAGTCAAAGAAACAGTTAGTCAGGGAAAGAGTTAGTCAAAGAAAGAGTTAGTGAGGGAAAGAGTTAGTCAAAGAAAGATTTAGCAAAGAAACAGTTAGTCAGGGAAAGAGTTAGTCAAAGAAAGAGTTAGTGAGGGAAAGAGTTAGTCACAAAAGAAAGAGTTAGTCAGGATATAGGAGGTAGTTCAAAGAAAGAAAGAGTGTAGCAAAGAAGAAGAAACAAGTTAGTCAAAGAAAGAGTTAGTGAGGGAAAGGGTTAGTCAAAGAAAGAGTTAGCAAAGAAACAGTTAGTCAGGGAAAGAGTTAGTCAAAGAAAGAGTTAGTGAGGGAAAGAGTTAGTCACAGAAAGAGTTAGCAAAGAAAGAGTTCGTCAGGGAAAGAGTTAGGCAAAGAAAGAGTTAGTCAAAGAAACAGGTAGTCAGGGAAAGAGTTAGTCAAAGAAAGAGTTAGTGAGGGAAAGAGTTAGTCAAAGAAAGAGTTAGTGAGGGAAAGAGTCAGTCAAAGAAAGAGTTAGTGAGGGAAAGAGTTAGTCAAAGAAAGAGTTAGTCAGGATATATGAGGTAGTCAAAGAAAGAGTTAGCAAAGAAACAGTTAGCCAGGGAAAGAGTTAGTCAAAGAAAGGGTTAGTGAGGGAAAGAGTTAGTCACAGAAAGAGTTAGCAAAGAAATTGTTCCCTCACTGTAAATGGGATTGCAAGTGGTGCTGGTGGAGGAGTTGCCGATGGAGTTTTGGAGGAAGTCTCGCACGAAATGCGTTTGTGAGAGATAGCAGATGCACGAAACCCTATGTTTTTCCATACAAAGTCCGTCCCCGAACCTCGATGATCTACCTCTGCGGTGCGACGGTTGCGAGACGGTCTCGTGTGTGGTCGGATCATGCTCGGATCATGTTCGGATCGGTTCCGCATTGTAAATGGGGTTTCAAGTGTTTTTCGTGCATTTGCGGTCGACAGAATTCCATTGTGATTTGCAACTGTAGGATCGTTCCCGCATTGTAAATGGGGTTGCAAGTGGTGCTGGTGGATGAGTTGCCGATGGAATTCCATTGTGATTTTCAACTCTAGGATCGTTCCCTCACTGTAAATGGGATTGCAAGTGGTGCTGGTGGAGGAGTTGCCGATGGAGTTTTGAGGAAGTCTCGCACGAAATGCGTTTTTGAGAGATAGCAGATGCACGAAACCCTATGTTTTTCGATACAAAGTCCGTCCCCGAACCTCGATGATCTACCTCTGCGGTGCGACGGTTGCGAGACGGTCTCGTGTGTGGTCGGATCATGGGCGGATCGGTCTCGGATCGGTTCCGCATTGTAAATGGGGTTCCACCTGTGTTTCGTGCATTTGCGGTCGACAGAATTCCATTGTGATTTGCAACTGTAGGATCGTTCCCGCAATGTAAATGGGATTGCAAGTGGTGCTGGTGGATGAGTTGCCGATGGAATTCCATTGTGATTTGCAACTGTAGGATCGTTCCCGCAATGCAAATGGCATTGCGAGTGGTGCTAGTGGAGGAGTTGCCGATGGAATTCCATTGTGCTTTGCAACTGTAGGATCGTTCCCGCAATGTCTAGAAGGTTTCAAATGGTTCGGTGGACGAGCTGAGGACGTAATACCATTGTGTTTTGCTAGGGATTGTTGCTAATCGCATTGTAATGGCTGCGTGAACTTGCTGCAGCTTGATTCTTTCAGATTTTGCCTGCTTTCATTTTTTATTTAAATTCTTTACAAAAAACGCTTCAAAACTAAACTTTTTCTGCTCTGGCGTCGATCCGGTTTTGGAGCTACAATTTCCGACGCCGTTGCGCGTAGTTCTATTGTGTTTTGCAACTGAGTCTCTGCAGGTCGCATTGTAATGGCTGCGTCAAGGTTGCTTCGTGCTGTGGCTGCATTGGTAATACTATTGTCTTTTGCAGCTGGATCTCGTAAATCATATTGGAGTGGCTGCATGAAGGCTGCGACATGGATTTGTTAGCAGATTTTCTCCATTTTGGCGCTAGTGATTTTCCTTCTAAAAATCCTTTTAAAAAGTGCTTCAAAATCGTCTTTTTTTCGCTCTGGCGTCGAGATCCGGTTTTGGAGCTGCAATTTCCGACCCAGTTGCGCGTAGTTCTATTGTGTTTGCAACTCAGTCTCTGCAGATCGCATTGTAATGGCTGCGTTGAACTTGCTGCAGCTTGATTCTTTCAGATTTTGCCTGCTTTCATTTTTTTTAAAATTCTTTATAAAAAACGCTTCAAAACTCAACTTTTTCTGCTCTGGCGTCGAGATCCGGTTTTGGAGCTACAATTTCCGACGCCGTTGCGCGTAGTTCTATTGTGTTTTGCAACTGAGTCTCTGCAGATCGCATTGTAATGGCTGCGTCAAAGTTGCTTTGTGCTGTGGCTGCATTTGTAATACTGTTGTGTTTTGCAGCTGGATCTCGTAAATCGTATTGGAGTGGCTGCATGACAGGCTGCGACAGTGATTTCTCAGCAGATTTTCTCCATTTTGGCGCTAGTGATTTTCCTTCTAAAAATCCTTTTAAAAAGTGCTTCAAAATCGTCTTTTTTTCGCTCTGGCGTCGAGATCCGGTTTTGGAGCTACAATTTCCGACGCCGTTGCGCGTAGTTCTATTGTGTTTTGCAACTCAGTCTCTGCAGATTGCCTTGTAATGGCTGCGTGAACTTGCTGCAGCTTGATTCTTTCAGATTTTGCCTGCTTTCATTTTTTATTTAAATTCTTTATAAAAAAACGCTTCAAAACTAAACTTTTTCTGCTCTGGCGTCGAGATCCGGTTTTGGAGCTACAATTTCCGACGCCGTTGCGCCTGCGCGTAGTTCTATTGTGTTTTGCAACTGAGTCTCTGCAGATCGCATTGTAATGGCTGCGTCAAGGTTGCTTCGTGCTGTGGCTGCATTGGTAATACTATTGTCTTTTGCAGCTGGATCTCGTAAATCATATTGGAGTGGCTGCATGAAGGCTGCGACATGGATTTGTTAGCAGATTTTCTCCATTTTGGCGCTAGTGATTTTCCTTCTAAAAATCCTTTTAAAAAATGCTTCAAAATCGTCTTTTTTTCGCTCTGGCGTCGAGATCCGGTTTTGGAGCTACAATTTCCGACGCCGTTGCGCGTAGTTCTATTGTGTTTTGCAACTCAGTCTCTGCAGATCCTATTGCGATGGCTGCGTCAAAGTTGCTTCGTGCTGTGGCTGCATTTGTAATACTATTGTCTTTTGCAGCTGGATCTCGGAAATCGTCTTGGAGTGGCTGCATGAAGGCTACGAAATAAATTTGTTAGAAGATTTTCTCCATTTTGGCACTAGTGTTGTTTTTGTTGCACGTAGGTTTAGAGCAGTGTGAAGTGTGGGGCGTAAAGAGTGCAGTGTGAAGTGTGAAGTGTGAAGGAATCAGTGGGAAGTGTGGAAGTGAGTGTGAAGTGTGAAGTGTGGAGTGTGAAGTTTAAGTTTGGAGTGCGAAGCGCGCAGTGTGAAGTGTGAAGTGTGAAGTGTGAGGTTTGGAGTGTGAAGGAAGCAGTGGGAAGTGAGAAGTGCGAAGTGTGAAGTGTGGAGTGTGAAGTTTCAAGTTTGGAGTGCGAAAAGTGCAGTGTGAAGTGTGGAGTGTGAAGACTTTGCTTCGTCTCTCGCTGAAAAAATCAAATGGTTGTCGAGGGAAGGACACGGTCGGGACAGGTTGTCTTTGAACTATAGGTCATTTATGTTTGGGAAACTTCCGCCGCCGGCTTGCCCGGGTCTATGTTACATTATACATTACACATTATACATTATACAATATACATGATACATGATACATTATACATTATACACTATACACATACATATACATACACATATGCATATACGAATGCAAATTTTAAATGCACATACAAACGCATATATACATATACAAATACATATACATACGCATATGCATATACATATATATATATACTAGGTACGGATGAGATAGGAGTTGTCGGAGGGTCCAGTTTTTTTGATTTCCCATCTCATGAGTAAAGTATTGTTTTTGCCCTTTGAAGGTGCCAGACTCCTATGTCATGTGGTTTTATTTGTCATTTGAAGGATACCTGCATCAAGTTTTTACATTCCCACCACGGTTTATGGTTTTAATGCTATAGGTTGCAGTTTGGACACATGAGATAGGAGGTAGGGGTTCACATAACCCATGTGTTGGGACTGTAGCATCTATATACCATGAAGAATTCCCATCTCATGCGCTTCATCCTGAGCCATTTGGCAATATGGTAAATTGCTACCGAACGTAACTTTTTTCATTTTCTCGTTATCTCACTACTGTTGTTATGTTTAAGGGGAAGCGACGCGGCTCGCGGAGAACGGACGGCCACGTGTCCCCCTGTTGTTGCCTGTAACGGGAAGCGACACGGCTCACGGAGAATGGATGGCCACGTGTCTCCCTGTGGTTACCTTCAACGGGATGCCCCCGGAGGCAATGTAAGCGGTCTCGCCGTGCACCTCCGGAATTTCCCACAAGCCTCCGGGAGCTTTCGTCAAAGATAAAGGAGCCAGGATACCATTCCCCGTCTAAAGCAGATGAGATAGGACTTGTGGAGATTTGACGGTTTGACTTGAAAATCTAATGGCACATGGGTGCGGCAAGGGAAAAATAGCGACCACTAAAAGCAGATGAGATAGGACTTGTGGAGATTTGACGATTTGACTTGAAAATCTAATGGCACATGGGTGCGGCAAGGGAAAAATAGCGACCACTAAAAGCAGATGAGATAGGACTTGTGAGGATTTGACCATGTGACCTGGGAAATCTAATGGCGCATGGGTGCGCTAAGGGAAAAATAGCGACCACTAAAAGCAGATGAGATAGGACTTGTGAGGATTTGACCATTTGACCTGGGAAATCTAATGGTGCATGGGTGCGCCAAGGGAAAAATAGCGACCACTAAAAGCAAATGAGATAGGACTTGTGGGGATTTGATGATTTGACCTGGGAAATCTAAGTGGCACACGGGCGCGGCAGGGAAAAATAGCGACCACTAAAAGCAGATGAGATAGGATTTGTGGGTTTTCGGTCTTGGACACTTAATGCGTGTTTGGCAAAATTATTTTGAACAAAACTTTTATTTTCTTGATTGCAAAACATTGAAAATGAACCACTGAACGTTTCAAAACTGATTGTGGACATAATTTATGGATAGCATAATTTTACCATTTCAATATGGTATATTGCTACTGAATGTAACTTTTTTCATTTTCTCATTGTTTCTCTCCTTTTGTCATACCTTTAACGGGAAGCGACACGGCTCGCGGAGAACGGACGGCCACGTGTCTCCCTGTTGTTATTTTTAACGGGTAGCGACATGGCTCACGGAGAATGGATGGCCACGTGTCTCCCTGTGGTTACCTTCAACGGGATGCCCCCGGAGGCAATGTAAGCGGTCTCGCCGTGCACCTCCGGAATTTCCCACAAGCCTCCGGGAGCTTTCGTCAAAGATAAAGGAGCCAGGATACCATTCCCCGTCTAAAGCAGATGAGATAGGACTTGTGGAGATTTGACGATTTGACTTGAAAATCTAATGGCACATGGGTGCGGCAAGGGAAAAATAGCGACCACTAAAAGCAGATGAGATAGGACTTGTGGAGATTTGACGATTTGACTTGAAAATCTAATGGCACATGGGTGCGGCAAGGGAAAAAAAGCGACCACTAAAAGCAGATGAGATTGGACTTGTGAGGATTTGACGATTTGACCTGAGAAATCTAATGGCGCAGGGGTGCGCCAAGGGAAAAATAGCGACCACTAAAAGCAGATGAAATAGGACTTGTGAGGATTTGACCATTTGACCTGGGAAATCTAATGGCGCATGTGTGCGGCAGGGAAAAATAGCGACCACTAAAAGCAGATGAGATAGGATTTGTGGGTTTTCGGTCTTGGACACTTAATGTGTGTTTGGCAAAATTATTTTGAAAAAATCTTTTATTTTCTTGATTGCAAAACCTTGAAAATGAACCACTGAACGTTTCAAAACTGACTGCGGGCATAATTTATGGATAGCATACTTTTTTCCCTTTCAATATGGTATACTGCTACTGAATGTAACTTTTTTCATTTTCTCATTGTTTCTCTCCTTTTGTCATACCTTTAACGGGAAGCGACACGGCTCGCGGAGAACGGACGGCCACGTGTCTCCCTGTGGTTACCTGTAACGGGAAGCTCCCGGACGGTCTCGCCGTGCACCTCCGGAATTTCCCACAAGCCTCCGGGAGCTCTCGTCAAAGATAACAAAGGACTTGTGGAGATTTGACTTGTGCCACTATGCAAAAAGATGGGCCACTGAACGCATGTGAGATAGGACTTGTTTTTTCTAGAACCATTGTAATTTCCTATCTCATCAGCCTTTGCTGCTGTCACAAAACATGAAGTCCCGATCATTTATCACGGTGTTTTTTTCAGAGTTGCATTCAGGTCTCAGAGCGGGTTCAGCGCACATGAGTTGGGAGTTTTGGCAAATCCTAGGTACCAAAACTCCTAACTCATGTGGCTATTGCAGCCAATTCCCCATAAGCGCTTCAAACAGTGGACACAACAGATAGGACTAGACCCTAACAAGTCTTCTCTCATCCGAGGCCACAAGTCGTAACTCATCAGTGCCCAGTTTATATATAATATATATATATATGAGTTGGCATATGGCACCTCCCAGGAATTGTGAAGGCTTCGTTGGGAATAGAATAGAACTCCAGTGTGTTTGTAGTAGAGATCTTGAGCCGGGGGGGATAAACCAACAAACACAACTGGGGGGCACCATCTTGAATGCTGAAGGCTGAATGGGCTGAACATGGGAGTTTTTCTGAACGAAACGTCGTGATCTTCATGCGTCTCAAGTGCCTTCCTTGGGAAATCAATATGATAATGTGTGGAACATTGAGGGGGCTCTTGTCAATTTTTTAGGGGGACGTCCTTTTTTTCACTTCACCTTAGCCGTCTTAGCCGCGAGGTTTTGCCCTAAGACTTTGGATGCGCACACCGGTCGCTATGACTATGAGAACGCTGTCACCGGCGACAAGTTGGTCTTCCAACGCAGTGGCTCCTGGTGCGTGGGATCTGATTGTTCCTCCGCAGTCGGTGGAGCCAATCCTATCGGCGTGTTGATGACCACGCACGAGGCATGCTGAAACCCATGGCTTTACTGCTGACCTTTTCTTGACTTTTGGGAGGGAACATTTTTGAAACCACCAGTTTTTTGTTTGTAAAATCAGGAAGAGATTGCGAAGATACTCAAACAGAAGATGGTTGAAGGTATTGTGATCCAAATCTTTGATGTATGCCTGCTAGTGAAAGACCATGGCAGTGAAAAATCCATGTTTTGGACCCACACTTTTCTACCTACCGGGACAAGTCTCCATTGCCAGCTTGCGTTGCCAGAGGGTATACCAAAAACGAGTGAACCATGGTTGGTTGGTTGGTTGGTTGGGTTCCATTGTTTCATTTGATTAAAGTGATAAATAACCCGATATAACATGATATAACAGGATGAAATGGGATAATCATCACCCGTTTACAAATACTGTGGTAGGTACACACGTCGAAATTCTTCAACAAGGTACCCCCGAACATCCCCAAAGGATTATAAATTATATATCACCATTTTTTGTTATCATTCCAGGATTACCATCATTTTCCCATATTTTTCCCCTCAAAATTGCAGCGGTATCCTTCCTTTTTCACATGCCCCAGGTGGTGAATGTCACGGACTTCGATGGCAAGTTCGAAGCCAAAGGCGTTCCGGGGATGGGCGGAAGCAGCGCAGGAGACTTGGCCAAGAAGCTGAAGGCCTTGAAACCACCGAAGCGGCCAGCGCAGCCGCCCAAACCCAAGCTGCAGGACGTTGAGTTGTTGTTGTTGTTGTTGTTGTTGTTGTTGTTGTTGTTGTTGTTGTTGTCGTCGTCGTCGTCGTCGTTGTCGTTGTGGTTGTGGTTGTGGTTGTGGTTGTGGTTGTTGTTGTTGTGGTTGTTGTTGTTGTTGTTTGTTGTTGTTTGTTGTTGTTTGTTGTTGTTTGTTGTTGTTTGTTGTTGTTTGTTGTTGTTTGTTGTTGTTTGTTGTTGTTTGTTGTTGTTTGTTGTTGTTTGTTGTTGTTTGTGGTTGTTTGTTGTTGTTTGTTGTTGTTTGTTGTTGTTTGTTGTTGTTTGTTGTTGTTTGTTGTTGTTTGTTGTTGTTTGTTGTTGTTTGTTGTTGTTTGTTGGTGTTTGTTGTTGTTTGTTGTTGTTTGTTGTTGTTTGTTGTTGTTTGTTGTTGTTTGTCGTTGTTTGTCGTTGTTTGTCGTTGTTTGTCGTTGTTTGTCGTTGTTTGTCGTTGTTTGTCGTTGTTTGTCGTTGTTTGTCGTTGTTTGTCGTTGTTTGTCGTTGTTTGTTGTTGTTTGTTGTTGTTTGTTGTTGTTTGTTTGTTGTTTGTTGTTGTTTGTTGTTGTTTGTTGTTTGTTGTTGTTTGTTGTTTGTTGTTGTTTGTTGTTGTGTGTTGTTGTTTGTTGCTGTTTGTTGTTGTTTGTTGCTGTTTGTTGTTGTTTGTTGTTGTTGTTGTTTGTTGTTGTTTGTTGTTGTTGTTGTTGTTGCTGGTGGTGGTGGTGGTGGTGGTTGTTGCTGGTGGTGGTGGTGGTGAAACTAAATGTGGACTGATCTTGTTGTTCCCCACCTGCCAGGTGAGGGTTGTTAGATTTTATCAGAGCTGTTGTCCTCCTCCTCCTTCTCCTCCTCCTCCTCCGCCTCCTCCTGCAGTTTCTCCTCGACCATGTCTGCATCAACTTCCACGTCCACTTCCGCCTTGCCAACTCTTCGCCAATCTCTTCGCCAACTTCGTCGCGCAGTGGGCACTGCTGGACCTCAACTGCCGGCTTTGGCCTTGCCAACTCTTCGCCAATCTCTTCGCCAACTTCCGCGCGCAGTGGGCACCTCTGGACCTCAACTGCCGGCTTCCGATCTGAGTGGGCACGCACGACTGGACCTCAACCTGGGACCTCCGGAGCTCAGTGGGCACCGCTGGACCTCAACCTGGGACCCTCCGAGCTCAGTGGGCACCGCTGGACCTCAACGACCAGATAGAATGCCAGAAGATATGCCAGATAGAACGCCAGATAGAATGTCAGATAGAATGCCAGAAGATATGCCAGATAAAATGCCAGAAGATATGCCAGATAGAATGTCAGAAGATATGCCAGATAGAATGTCACATAGAATGCCAGAAGATATGCCAGATAAAGTGCCAGAATGTTTGCCAGATAGAACGCGAGAAGATTTGCCAGATAGAATGCCAGATAGAATGTCAGAAGATATGCCAGAAGATATGCCAGATAGAGTGCCAGAAGATATGCCAGGTAGAATGCCAGAAGATTTGCCAGATAGAATGCCAGAAGATATGCCAGAAGATATGCCAGATAGAATGCCAGAAGGTATGCCAGATAGAATGTCACATAGAATGCCAGAAGGTATGCCAGATAAAGTGCCAGAATGTTTGCCAGAGAGAATGCCAGAAGATTTGCCAGATAGAATGCCAGATAGAATGTCAGAAGATATGCCAGAAGATATGCCAGATAGGGTGCCAGAAGATATGCCAGAACATTTTGCAGAAGATATGCCAGGTAGAATGCCAGAAGATATGCCAGATAGAATGCCAGAAGATATGCCAGATAGAATGCCAGAAGATATGCCAGATAGAATGCCAGAAGGTATGTCAGATAGAATGCCAGAAGATTTGCCAGTAACAATACGTATAAATGTCATGGTGGGGATAACTCGAAGTAAAGTAATTGTGTTTTTTCACGTCGACTTGACATAGAATCCTTTGTTGCAGCAGTGTTTCAACAATTCACTCCTGTCGCTGCTCGTGCAGGAATTTAAAGCAACCATGCCGCAATACTCCGAGGAATGTCTCGACTATCAGGACCAGCCAGTTCCATCTCAAAAGATGTTCCTGATCCTTCGGTCACTTTGCTGTGTTTAAAGGTATGAGCATCCCACTTGAAAAAAATTGAAAGCAGCAGTGTTGGAGGACCTGTGGAAGAAGGTCATTGAGACCCATGTGAATGAAGAGAAGGAAGAGGTGATTGAAGAGGCAAAATTGGAAGCAGATCCGGGAACCGAAGGACAGGAACTGCTAGACTACCACCCCTGTGCTGTGGCAGCTGGTGCTGGTGGCATCTTCGGGCGCATGGCAGGGCAGAGTGGTCAGATGGCACCGGAGAACATGCTCTACTCCGATTGGAACGACTGTATGCAGGGTGACATCAACCGTGATTTACTGCAAGCCAAGGCAGGAGCCGGATGGTTGGGGGTTGTGGGAGTTACTTCCATATGACAACCACCATTCTCACTTCCACAAGAGTAGAACAGTTTTACTGCACAGAGGTTTGATCAAACTTGATGAAAATCATGGCTGTAGCGTCCATGTCACCTGCAACGACAGATGGATTTCGCAGCGACGGCCTACGACTTGGTGGCGAACGCGGTCCAGGAAGGCGTCAAGACCTTGTGCGCGGCAGTTCCAGGCATCGAAATCGCCCCATTGGGTGCTGGCGTTGAGACAGAGCCCGATGATATTTGCGGTCAAGTGGTGGATTTTGTGCGCACGCTGGTGGATCTTCCAGTTGGCTTTACCTTTGCGGCTCATGATTATGCAATGGAAGAAGAGGGTTTCAATGCTTGCAACCCATACCAGGTGGGTTTCTCACGCCTCTTCTGCAACTTGGACAACCGTTGAACCCTTTGTGACCATCATGCCCATTCACTTTGGTCAAACTTTGGTCCATATTGCGGATGAAGACAACATCCAATAATCCAATACTAGACAGATGTGGTTTAGATCAGCAGGCTCCAACTGAAGCCTTTGAAGGATTTGTTTCAAATCAACACCGTGCTTTCACTGAGGATCAGCTTTGAAATGTAGTGGTTCTTCCGAGTCTAGCTTTGATATCCGTGAATGATCTTAGGCCCGTATGGTAGCCCCGGGGAACACACATATCATGCCTCAAGCGGCTTCAAGATTGAAAGACTAGTCTCAGGCAGATGCGTTGAATGGCAACACCTCCAGGGGACATGGGAATGACATACCTCGGCTTCGGCCAACTTTGAGGGAGTCAGAAGTCACTATTCTCATTCTCCGTGGCCAAGACATCAAACCCACCCAGATCTGTTGCTTCCCGTCCGCGAAGGTGACATCCACTGCGTCCGCGATGCGGTGATCCGTGGCGACCGATCCATCATCAACAACTTGGAGAAAGCCACGAAGATCTCCAACGACAACATGAAGAAAATGGTCGAGTGGTCCACCGAGGCCAAAAAAAACACCATAATTTTGGCCGGGAGATGCCAAGGTATGAAAAAACGACGAAAACACATCGAACAATCAACAGCAAAACAATTGATGAATGGTGTAAATGGGTCAAAACCCTGGATTTTCCATGTTTTTTCGGCATGAATTGGAGGATGAACATCTGTAAGCATTTTGATGGAACATATGAACAAGCATTTGGGGCCCTGGGTCAAGTCCCAAGATTGGGTTTCAGATCCTTGCCAAAGAAAGACGGTGGTTGTCCAATGGTCAATTTTGACCCACAAGCATATCGTGTCTTCCAACCATTTGACACTTGTGTCGCATGTCGGTATTTCTTGTTAGAAAAGAAAGCTCTGTTCAATGGATTGGTTGAAGGGAAAATATGGGCTTTCCTGTAATTTGTCCCTTAAACCAATCCATTGATCTGTTTCGTGACTCATCATATCTCCTGACTTCTCCTGCAAGGCCAATCGTGTCGAGACGGAATATTTGGACAAGAAGATCGATCATTCCTTGAGCCCCGACAGAAGCTGATGTTGCTCTTCCAGTCACCAGTATTGAAAAATTACAAGTGTGGTAGCTGCATTCTGATTATGATATGATGGGATACTACAACAATATGTATCAAAATGGATACAGATTTCTATCTCAAACAGTTTGTCTCAAACTTGGTTTAATGTCTCGTTTGGTTTCGCCGAAAAAAGCCCTGAGGAAAGTGCAAAGCATCTACCTGGACCACATCTCCAAGAACACCCAACCGCCAGAAGAGCTGTTGCTGAAGGATACCGCGGCCCAGACCAAGGTGCTCAGCTTTTCAAACACCATGAGACAATGGCGATACGGGGGTTGAACCCACCGAAATGGTTTTTCACAATGAAAAACTGCGGGCTTAATCCGGCTCATCAAAAATAGAGATTTTGCAATGAACAAGTGGTGAGAAAATTGCTTAAAAAACCATGGTATTCCCTATGGGAGGATCACCCCCCCGGATCCTGGTGGGGCAACCAATCGAATGATCCTCCAAGGGAATTTCTTCCAAAAACAGGGTTTGGTTTACTATGGCCAGGCCATGTTTGAGGAGATGCGAGGCTATGCAGATGCAGCGTCTTTTAGTGACTGGATCAAGACTGGAAGGTTTTTTTTTTGCTGGACCAGTTGGGATGCAAGGGGGTATCCCGGGTAGACCTCGACACTCTTGGTCTTGTATCAGTCTTTAATAAAGTCTATGGGGATGAGGGCACTCTCTTTCGAGTTTAGGGGATGGGCTACCCCTAGTTCATCCATTTCTAGATGGGATAACAATCACATGGCCATTTCTCCGTAATTTGCACTGCTTCCAGACATTTCCAGACCCACCAACCAGCTCGCCATTTTGAGCCGCTGTTAGGTCACAAAAAACGGTTGCAACAAAGGTTTTCACCCCTCTATCTTTTACCGACATGATGATTTCCAGGACCTACTGCCATATCCCGTTATGCATCTCCCATTGTTGGTCAAATCCAGCATCAAAGCCCCCATATCGTATGTGGGGGGGGCCGTGAACACGAGACACGGGACCATATACATATTCACATATACATATGTATATACATACGTATGTGTTTGTACACACACATATACACATATACACATATATACATATATACATTAATACATATATATATATATACATATATATATATATATGCGCATATACATATATACATATATACATATATACATATATACATATATACATATATACATATATACATATATACATATATACATATATACATATATACCTAATATATACTTAATATATACTTAATATATACCAAATATTTACTTAATATATACAAATATATACAAATATATACACATATACACATTTACATATATACATATATACATATATACATATATACATATATACCTAATATATACTTAATATATACTTAATATATACTTAATATATACTTAATATATACTTAATATATACTTAATATATACTTAATATATACTTAATATATACGTAATATTTACTTAATATATACAAATATAAACAAACACATACACATATACACATATACATATATACATATTTACATATATACATATATATACATATATATATATACATATATACATATATATATATATACATATATACAGATATACACATATACATATGTACATATATACATATATACACATATACATATATACATTTATACATATATACATATATACATATATACACATATACATATATACATTTATACATATATACACATATACATATACTCATATATTACCTGCAAGTGAGATAGGAGTTGTCGGAGGGTCCAGTTTTTTGATTTCCTATCTCATGAGTAAAGGTTTTTGCCCTTTGAAGGTGCCAAACTCCGATCTCATGTGGTTCTATTAGTCATTTGAAGGATACCTGCATCAAGTTTTTACATTCCCACGGTTTATGGTGTTTAACGCTATAGCCTACAGTTTGGACACATGAGAAAGGAGTTAGGGCTGATTTGGGGTATGTTCACATAACACATGTGGTGGGACTGTAGCATGTACATCCTATGAAGAATTCCCATCTCATGGGTTTCATGCTGAGACTTGTGGGGATTTGACCTGGGAAATTTAACTGGCACATGGGTGCAGCAAGGGAAAAATAGTGACCACTACAAGCAGACTGAGATAGGACTTGTGGGGATTTAGCCTGGGAAATCTAATGGCACATGGGTGCGGCAAGGAAAAAACCGTGACCACTAAAAGCAGGTAAGATAGGACTTGTGGGGGTTGACCCGGGAAATCTAAGGGCACATGGGTGCAACTAGGCAAAAAGATGCGCCACTGAACGCATGTGAGAGATAGAACTTGTTTTTTTTAGAACCATTGTTTTTTGTATCTCATCAGCTTTTGCGGCCGTCACAAAACATGAAGCCCCGATCATTTATCAAGGTGTTTTTTCAGACTTGCATTCAGGTCTCAGAGCGGGTTCAACGCACATGAGTTGGGAGTTTTGGCAAATCCCAGGTACCAAAACTCCTAACTCATGTGGCTATTCTAGCCAATTCCCCGTAGGCGCTTCAAACAGTGGACACATGAGATAGGATTAGACCCCAGCAAGTCTTCTCCCAACAGAGGCCACAAGTCCTGACTCGTATATATACATTTGTAAATATATACATATGTATATGTGTATATGTATATATGTGTAAATGTATATATGTATATATGTATATATGTAACTATGGATGTATGTATATGTATAACTGTGTACATATATATACATATATATATATACATGTATATATATACATATATATATACACATATATTTAAATGTATATATATATATACATATACATACATCCATATTTACATATAAACATATACACACATATATATATACATATATACATATATACATATATACATATATACATATATACATATATAGGTATATACATGTATACAGGTATATATGTATACATGTATACATACAGACATATCGACACACATATACATACAGACATATAGATACATAGTTACTATTTATTCTATCCTGTTGATGCCAATGGTTGTATATACCCAGTAGATATCCATTCCATCCCATTATATATCCCACTGGATATATCTCATAGATCCCATTCTATCAGTATATATCCCACTAGATAAACCTTATGCATCCAATTTTATACATAACTAATTTTTTAGATATAAAACTCTCTCCACTATATCCACTGCATTTCTCGGCTACATTTATATAGGTGCATTTATATAGGTACATATTTATGTACAGTGATATTTTTCTTCAAATTATATAAATATATACACATACATGCATGCATGCATGCATGCATACATACATACATACATAGATACATCAGTAGTTATACATCCACATTTTACATCCCAGTCGGATCCTAGATCCCACTGGCAGCCGCGTGGCAGCTCAGGCACCGTCTCCCGCCGCGGTGCCCACGACGCCCTGGAGACTTTCCTCCGCAGCGCGCAGTCGCTAGACGCGCAGAACGCCTCGGAGCGCTGGAGCCAGGCGAAACGCTTCCATGGACAGGTGCCCCGAATGGGGGGACCCGGGAGAAGAGGGAGAATGGGGCCGAAAGTGCCATAGGAAAACATGGAGAAAACTGAGGATTTCTGCTCGAAATAGCTGGGAGATTCATGTTTGGTGGTTGTTCTGACGTGGGGAGTTTGCCAGTTGGGGATACCTTGTTTTTGGACAGACCCAGCTGCAAGATCGATGAGATATCAATGAAGAAATGGCATGCAACCTGCTATTCCCAGTGCCAGATTTTTTGGGTTCAAGTTACCCAACAGAAAATTGAGGATTCACCAACAAAATCCATGGACAGGTGGATGAGGGTTGATGATCATTTTGACGTGAATCGCATTTCCATAAAAGGCATCTCACGGCCGTCAGGTCAAGTTCAGGCGATGAGATTGGTAAGATGCACTGATCAACACACCGCAATTCCTTCAAAGGTATACAGAAGACGCCTGATTTCCCACGTTCTGAACTTCTCCAGATGGGTCAAAATGAGCCTCCAACATGGCTCAAAATGGAAGGTTTCATAGAAAACATAGAAAACATGGATATAAAAATGACACAAAAATCTCGCAAAGTCACCAGCCGTCCAGAATGGTTCTCCGCCAGGTGCAGATGTTCCACGACTCACTGCAGTTGAGCAGCGGTGGCTTGTCGCGAGCCAAGGTGGTGGGGCGACAGATCAGCCATGAAGTGCAGCAGCTGCAGAAGCGCATGGCGCAGCAGGAACGAGTGCTGGGCGGCTTGGCGGGATGCAAACGAATGCCCGTGGATCAATGGAAACTGGGAAGCTCTGAATTACTTGAAATGAATAGAAACTCAAGCATGTAAAGATTTACATCCTAGGTTTTGGGTCGAACATGGACCCAGATTTCAGGTATGGATCACAAAAACCCGGGTAGCAATGAGCCTACAAAGCCGGGCAAAGCTGGGCATCAAAAGCACAAAAACGACAAAGACCCACAGAAATGGAGACCCTCATCTCAAATATGAACCAAACATGATTATTTTAATGATTTCATGGTATTGATATAGCAACCAACAGAGGTAATGGATTTTGGATTTTGAATCACTGAAGAAAAAGGATATCATCATTTTTCCCTCAACACAAAGGCCAGTACCTTGATTTCTGGGTACATGTCCATCCTGGCGGCTTGAGAATCAACAAATGGTGAGTGAATGTGACTGATGATCTCTGATACCTTCTGGCACAAATTACCCATCGATGGCAACTGGAGATGCCCAAATTCTCTACCGAAAATCATACCCCATAGGATCCATGGTGCTGCCATATATGGTAACATGGATCCCATCAATATACCCCCAATGGGATCGCATATATACCAGCACCATGGATCCTATGGGTACCCAAATATCGTCTGCGGATTTTCTACATCGGATTGGAGATTCTCCAGGTTACCATGACCCAGCCATGACCCACCAAGGTGTGTATCGTACGCACAGCCGTTTGGCCGACAAGGCCGCCCCGGCCCCAACGGCAGCCAGCCGACAGAGCTTGGTCACTTTGGACCACCTGTGGTGGCGCATTCGCGACCACCTTGATGGCTACCTGGCCGTTGCGGAGAGCGAAGTCCGCCACATCCAGCGATCCTTCGTGGCCCTGTCCGACTACGAGAACTGCCAGAGTGATTCGGAGGGTTTGTTAAAGAGCTATGCATCCAGCATCTCCAAAATGAAGAAGGGCCACCGAAAACTGAAGTCAACCTGGAGAGAGGCGCAGTCCTCCGATTTTTCTGAATTTTTTGTTGACACTATAGCCAATTGCTATATTATACATATTCCTACATTTAAAAAGATGACAGGCAGTGTCTTCGAATGGCACCCAAGCATTTTTTGTGGAAGGTATTCATAATGGAACAAACCATCCATGGCAGAATGTCCACCAACTGAATCATGTCCTCGACCCTGCCTTGCCAATCCCAGATGTTGATCAAGGCGCTCCTTTTGAGCGAAAGATGATGGACCCGAGGATCCATTTTTTGGGCTTCACAATTGAGACTCAATGATTAACTATGGTGTATGGGGGCCATACTCATTATGGGGTTAAAATACACCAGAAACATAATTGGAGGGCACTCACAGCCCATCATGTTTTTCTTCCATCCCATCCATCCCGGAAAGGTCAACAACTTGTTCGGAGAGCTCTCTGCCGTGCTGCGCGACTCGGACGTCTTTGGTGACTTGATCTATGCCGAAGGCTGCGAGTCGCCACTGGCACAGCAGACTTTGCAGCAGGCAGGGATGGCCCGTTTTAACGGTTGGATTTGGAGGACTTTACCCTCTGGTTATGTCTTAATCACCATTAATCTGGGTAAATTACTATAGTAAACCACTATCAACCATTAGGGCGTCGGCGCGGGCAAACTGAGGGGTTTGCCCGCATTATTACCTTCTGGTAATTTGGTACATAGCTATTGAAAATGGCCTAGTCGAAAGTTCGTTGATCTTCCCATTAATAGCATGGTGATTTTCCAGTTCGCAAACTGTTAGTTTACCAGAGAGTAACCCCAAAACATCTGCAAGCTGCAAGGGATTTCAGCGCCGATCTGGCAATGAGGATGTCATGACCTGGCAAACTCAAAAAGGGGACACCAATGGTTTTGGCAATTTTGAGAAACTCAATCTATGATTACCCTCTGGTAATTTAACGTAGCTATTGAAAATGACCATTTATAGTGGATTTTCCCATTGAACATGGTGATTTTCCATAGCTATGTTAGTTTACCAGAGGGTATCTAAATCCAACTGAAGAACATGTTTGATGATTCTGTGGCGGGATGCATGATGTTTGTAGCCCAACCAACCAATTAGAACAGCGTGGCAGTTTGAAACGCCAGGCGCGTTTTGTGCTTCAGAGCATGATCTTCTTGCTCCACCGCTTCCAGGCACCGTTTCCACCAGGTCTGTTGAAAGGTCCTGTTGGACCCGACAGTTTGACCCAGCCAGGGGGTTCTGAAAATGGGGGTTGCCAGCCCTAAAGGCCCCAACTATCCCCAACTCACCCATTTTACGGAGGAGTTTCCATGAAACCAACCAGCCCTGGGGGGTTCCAATGGAAACAAACCAGCTCCAGGCAGCCAGTCTCCGCGCCCCAGACCTCGAAGAGATGAAAGAGTCGGTGTCACAGATCCGCAAAGCCTACCACCAGGTGGGGCGGCGAGCCTGCGGTGGGTTGGATCCAACTGGGATGAAAGCTGAAGATTTTGAGATCTTTGGATCAGGATATATCAGGATGATTCAGGATGTATGTCGAGAACCATGAATTAGACACTGAATTAAACACTGTCATAGTGAAGAAAAACACATTTACTTTTTCTGATCAGGATGTATTTTGCTATTTTTTCTCTGCTGCACCTGTTTTGGAGAGAGAGAGAGAGAGAGACCCAATCGCCAGCTGCCGTGGTGTTTTTGATGTGAGGCCAGAGAAGGTTGTGCAATTCACAAGTGATCACTAGGGCTGAAAAAGAGCGTTGGGGACATTTGGGGACCTGAGAGATGAGGCTTGAGGCTTTGAAAACAGAATACCCATGGAATACCCAAAATCCAAGGGTTCATCGATTTTATTATAATTATAATCATTTTTGTTTTTTTGCATTTAAGCAGCAATTTTTTGCAAAGTTTTCGACAAGCACATGTGTAGGCTTGAGTGGCTAAAAGTGTAAGATACTCTGCAGCATTCCAGCTGCTTCCATTCTTGACAGTTGGACCGCGCATTTCCAACGGGAGAAACAGACATAGTCGATGATATCGTAAAATTCCAAATGTTTCTGCTGCATTTGATATCGTTTGAT